TAACAACAAATATTTTAATCTGTGTTTAATTCAAAAGTAACAACAAATATTTTTAATCTGTGTTTCATTATAAAATTTATGTTTATATATTTTAATGTTTTAAAATATTTGGCAAGTTTTTTTTTATTCTAAATTCTACTCAAGATATTCAGACAAGCCAAATTTAACATAATTTATACTAATAATACAATTCAAAGAAATATGAGTTGTACATATTTATTTACCAAATAATTACTCTTTAAACTATTTTTCTAAATCATTTCTATCTCTGTAGTAAACTTCATATTTTATATGTAATAAAATAATTAAAAATCAATATAAATATTTTTACAATTTACATAAAATTAAAAAAAATAATGTTTAATCTAAATGTCCAAATTCACTATTGAATCTAACAAAAAATAATATTGATCTAAGATCTATTCGATTAAATGATATTTAATTAAAATGTAAACACAAAACAAAAACAAACCATACAATATTATCCATAGTTGATATTTTCATTTTAGATATTGTTATTCAAAAGTAGAATAATTCACACGGTTAACCAAATGTATATTGAACACAATATGTCGTATTTTGTTTTGTCAAATTTTCAAGCTTTAAAAAAATTTACACACGGAGTACGTAGAAGTACTTCGGTGCAATGTGTTAACAACAAAGTCGACACTACAACATCAATAGAAATGGAAAAACTTTTAGAAACGACAAAATCTTACTTGGTTATTACGATATAAAATTGGATCTAATGACCAATTCAATTTTTTTTTTTGTTAATTGAATAGTAAATGAAGTTGAAGTAATATTTTTAAAAAAATTTTGATTTTTTTAAATATTTAACTTCGTATAACGCGGGGAGTTACCAAGTTAATAATTAAATGAAAATGATTTCATAAAACAATTTTTAATCAGTTAAAATATTTTTTAAAATCAATTTCTTATTAAACTATTTTAGTTAATTGATTTTTACTAAATACAAGTTTAAAGTTTAAATTTATTTATAGAGTAATAAAATAGATAAAAACAAGTTTTTAGCCTCTAAATTTATTGTAAAATACAATCAAACCAATGGTAAAAGAATTTTAAGAATAAAAATAGTTACAAGCAATAAAAAAACAATTTTGTTCTCCTAAAAAATTACTCCTAAAAAATGAAGAAAAT